ATTATTTGTAGTAAAGTCTAGTTTGATATCATAAATACCAAAGTCACGATCGTCATCAGCAACGTCATCAACAGCTTCATCATCGTCATCATCACTAAGAAAATCGGGATTTTCGCATTTTCACAAGCTTGTGAAAATTATTATCTTTGAATTCATTACCCTGACCACCGTCATCATCGTCATCGTCATTATCGCCTTCATCATCATTATCATCACCGTCACCAACGTCATCATCATCATCATCATCACCAAGCAACAACATTTTTACGTTGAAGTTATTTTGTGTTCCCTTCTTACGGGACTTTGGCATAGAGTGAGTGCATGTTTGTTTACGATGACGATGATGATGATGGTGGGGTGGTGATGATGTTGATGATGATGATGGTGGGGTGATGATGTTGATGATGATGATGTTGATGATGATGATGGTGATGATGATGATGATGGTGATGATGATGATGATGATGATGATGATGATGTGGTAATGATGATGATGGTGGGGTGATGATGTTGATGATGATGATGGTGGGGTGGTGATGATGATGATGACGGTGATGATGTTGATGATGATGATGGTGTGGTGGTGATGATGATGATGATGATGGTGGGGTGGTGATGATGATGATGATGATGAAGATGGCGAATGATGTTAGTGAAAGTGATGACGGTTTTTAAGAAGATGATAATGCTGATGGTTACGTTATGATTATGAAAATGATGATATGTTGTTGTTGTTGTTGTTGTTGTGTATTTGTAGCTGACTTTGTCTCGACCATTACTTTCAGACGACGTTACGTTTTGTTATTAATTATTTATTGCTCTGTTTGCTGATTGATTAGCTGGCCTTTAACATTTTTTGCGAACGTGAAGTAGTTATGTTGCTGTAAAATTGTTGTTGTTGTTTTTGTTGATGTTGTTTATATTGTTGCGTTTTTGTTTTTGTTTTTTTTGTTGTTATGTTTGTTGTTATGTTATTGCTGTGTTGTTATGTGTTTGTTGTATTGTGGCGTTAAAGTAGGATCATTTTGTTTGTTAAGGCTAATTTTACAGAAGTTTCACTTGGAAAAGTTTGTTGTTTCGTTTGTGATTCAGTAATTTCAGATGATAAAACCCACAAATTATTAACTATTATTTAACTATTGATTTCAATAAGAAAGTTCTTATAAGTTTTTTATACCTCAACTTGATCTTCGTTCAAATTTATAATTTTGAAACATTTAAATGTAAAAAAAATTTAAATAACTCAAATTGAATTGCTAATTAATTTACTTAAAATCATTGACTATTTAGTTATTATTTAACAGTCAGAGTCCATTTTTAAACCACCCCCAAAAAATAGTTCTATACTTTTCTGATGATGGAACTTCGTTGCAGTAATTTATTCTTCCTTATATTAGTTTGCTTCCTACAACTACTTTGGAACAACTACAACTACTGCGCAACTGGGCTGAAATTCCTGTTTGGAAGGTTTGCATAACGCATAAGCATAATGCTTCTAACATTAACTATTTGTAAGTAGATAAATAGAAATAAGTTGGCTGAATAAAAGAACGAGTGAAAGAATTTATTGCAAAATAAAGAAATGAATGAAGAAAATTTGAATTAATAGATAAAGAAGTGAAGGAATGATCTAACTAGCGAAGTAACAACAAATGAATGGATATAGGAACGAACGAACGAGTGAAGGACAGAGTGAATAAGCAAGCGAGTGAATGAATGAACGAATTGTTGAAAAAATGAATGAATAAGAAAATAGCGTAATGTCAATTTTGATAAATTGTAAACAGGTTATAAATTGAGTTCATCTGTGTATCTGAATTAATGAAGAAAAGATTGAAAAAAGGAAGAATTAAATAAATGAGCAATTGAACGAACAAATAAATAACACAACTACACAACTTATTAATAATTTTCATTTGAAATTTCAATAATTTTGATCATCATAAACATAACCAACTCAACATTTCCATTTCATTCGATTATGTTATTAGTTGTAGTTCATTGTAATCTAAAATTATCTTTTTTTTCAAAAATTTTGAAATGTACTCTAAAATTTCGATGGTGTAATTTTCAAATTGATTAGAAAGTTTCAAAGGACTATTTTAAACAACTGGCCAGTTCGGACCACCAGCAGGATCGTTTGAGTGGAAACAGTGCCCCACTGTTAACGTAGAATTTGCACCTCCGTCGACTAACCTGGCTGGATCAGAGGTCAGGTCACGCTCGATCTAAGATAGGAACTGCTCGTTGCAGGTCTGCCTAGGGCCAAGTTCTCGAGACACGTGACACCAGGCAGTGTTGAAAAAATTGCAATGACTGTGATGACAGAATCTTTCAATTTTAATTGTATTGGATTATTTTAGGAAAAATTGAGTTAAACGTCTAAACGGTAACTAGATACTTAAACATAAGCACGAATCACATTTATGATTTTTTGACATTTTTCATTTAACATTTTTTTTATGAGCGTAAAATATGAAACTTTCATCCAACTAATGAG